TAATACTAAGAACTTGGTCTGGAACCTGACTTTTATTTACTAATAGCTATAATTTTGACATCAGTTGCCCTTTTATAGATGGTAGTAGCCTTTAAGTTTGTGATTATTTACAAATCAAATTTCCTTTTTATTCCTTTAAATTATAGGAATTTAGTGTAATGTATTGCTATCCTAAAGCCATCTGGAATACTTGAAAGATTTTGTCACAGCCATTTTGAAACCTTTGTATCCCTATATTGCAGGGCGTCTTCCAATAGGGTTCCATTTTGTTTCAGAGTCTTCTATGAAGTCTCCATGTAAACCTCCATTGCTGCCCACCTTATTATGTTCATTCCGTCTTGTTTTACAAAGGCAAACATCACATTTTATTTTGTCACTGTCTTCTCAGTGCCTTCTGTGTGTTGTTTCAATTCAGAGTATCTCCTGCAAATAGTTCTCTTTCAGTTTTCAGAGGTTATAGGGTTACAATTCATAACGTTTGAATGTGTAACTCTTTATTTTTATGATTTTTATATAAAATAAAAATTAACTAAATTTTATGTGTTATTCCTCCACTCCCCACTCACTATTAGTCTCTTATGATATTGTCTAATTTATTACATGAACACAGTATATTTCTTTTCACTTATTTAGGTCATTAATTTCTTTCAGCAATGTTTTGTACTGTTTGGTGTATAGATTTTGCACATTTTTTGGTTAAATTCACATCTAATTATTTCATATTTTTAATGCATTTGTAAATGGTATTGTTTTATTAACTATTTCCAATTGGTTATTGCTAGTATATAGAAATACAATTGATTTTTTATATTGCTCTTGTATCCTATAACCTTGATAAACTAATTTATTGGCTCTAGATAGTATAACGTTTTTGTAGATTATGTAGTATTTTCTACATAGCCACATTGTCTGAATAAAGAAAATTCTGCTTCTTCCTTTCCAATCTGGTTTTCTTTTATTTATTTTTCTTATCTTATTATATGAGCTATAACCTTCAGTACAGTGTTAATAGACATGCTAGGAGTGGACATCCTTGCCTTTTTGTTGATCTTATGGGAAAAGCAATTATTCTTTCACAGTTTAGCATGATGTTAGCTCTAGGGTTTTTTGTTTTAATAAATACTCCTTATCAGCTTGAAGTGCCCATCTGTTCTTAGTTAGCTGAAGATTTTCTTTTAAATCAGTAATAGATTGTGGATTTTTTCAAATGCTGTTTCTACAGCTGTTGAGATGTTTTTATTGGACTTTGTTTCTTTGTTTTAATGCCTGTTCATATAGTGAATTACATTGATTTTTAAATGTTAAACTAACTTTCTTTCCTGGAATAAATCTCACTTGATCATGATGAATTATCTTATATGCATATTGTTGGCTTTGATTTGCTAATATTTTGTTAAAAATGTTTATATCAGTACTCATTAGGAATATTGGTCTGTGGGTTTTTTTTGTTTATTTTTTCCTTGTCATATCTTTTTCTGGTTTTGGTATCAGAGTTATGTCGGTTTCATTTCATAACATTATGAATAAGTATTCCCTATTCAATTTTCTGGACAATTTGTGTAGAATTGGTATTATTTCTTCCTTAATTTAAATGTTTCCTTAATTTTAAAGATTTGACCAGTTGAAGCATCTGGGCCGGTTTTGTTTTGTTTTGTTTTTTTCCTGAGAGAAAAAGGTTTTTTTTCTTTTTTTTTAAACTAAGAATTCAATTTCTTTAAGAAAAACTATGACAAATATCACACATGAACATAGATGCAAAAATTCCTAACAAAATTTTAACAAATAATTATTTTTATCTTCTTGAGTGAACTTTAGTAGTTTGGTAGTCTTTCAAGGAATTTGTCCATTTTATCTAACCTGTAGAATTTATTGGCATTAAGTTGCTCATAATATTCCCTAATTATTCTTTTAATGTTTTTACAATCCAGAATTATGCTATTTTTCTCATTTCTGATGTTAATAGTTTGTATCTTTTTTTCCCTGGTTAGTCTGGCTAGAGGTTAACAATTATATTGATCTTTCCAAAGAACCAGCTTTTCTTTATTATTTTTGTATTTTCTATTGTATTAATTTCCTCTCTGATCTTTATTATTTCTTTTATTCTGTACTTTGGGTTTCATTTGCTCTTCTTTTATAGTTTCTTAATATGGAAGCTGAAATTATGGATTTTAGTCCTATCTTCTTTTGTAATATAGGTGTTTAATATTATAAATTTTCTTCTCAGTATTGCTTTAGCTGCATATCATAAATTTTGATTTTTTTTTTCCATTTTCATTCAGTTCAAAATACTTTCTAATTTTCCTTTTTTCTTTGAATCTTGGGTTATTCAAATGTATGTTATTTAGTCACCAAATATTTGGAGATTTTTCAGATGTTTATCTGCTGCTGATTTCTAATTTAATTCTATTGTTAGAAAGCATACATTGTGTTATTTGAATCTTCTTATGTGTGTTGATACTTGTTTTATGTCTGAGAATGCCATGTATTGGTAAATGTTTTATATTTACTTGAAAGAACATATATTCATGGGCGATTGGTCCCAGGATCACCCAGTGGATACTGTAATGCACGGATGCTCAAATCTCTTAAAAGAAATGGCATGGTATTTGCATATAATCTATACATAACCTTCCATATACTTTAAATCATCTCTAGATTACATGTAATGCATAATAGAGTGCAGTCAGTTATCTTTTAAGGTGATTTAAATAATAAAAAGTCTTATATATTTACCCACATGATAACTGTTTTAGATTCTTTATTCCTTTGTGTAGATCTTGCTTTCCATGTGCTATCACTTTCCTTCTGCCTGAAGGACTTCTTTTTAACATTTCTTGTATTGTTGTTCTTCTAGTGATGAATTCTTTCAGTTTTGTATATCTGAAAAAGTCTTCATTTAAAAAAGATGTTCATACTGGATATAGAATTTTTGACAGTTTTTTTTCTTTCAGAACTTTACACATACTGTTTCATCGTTTTCTGACTTGAGTCTTTTCTGATGAGAAGTCTGCTGTCATTGTTATCTTTTTCTCTGTACAGAATGTATTTTTTTTGGTTGTTTTTAAGATTTCTTTCTCTCTCTCTCTCTCTCTCTTTTTTTTTTTTTTTTTTTTTGAGACAGAGTCTCGCTCTGTTGCCCAGGCTGGAGTGTAGTGGCACAATCTCAGCCCACTGCACCCTCCACCTCCCAGGTTTAAGCAATTCTCTTGCCTCAGCCTCTTGAGTAGCTGGGACTACAGGCACGTGTCACCACGCCCAGCTAATTTTTGTATTAGTAGAGATGGGGCTTCACCATGTTGGCCAGGATGGTTTCTGTCTCTTGATCTTGTGATCTGCCCACCTCGGCCTCCCAAAGTGCTGGGATTACAGGCATGAACCACCGTACGCGGTCAAGATTTTTCTCTTTATTATTGGTTTTAAGCAATTTGTTCATGCACTGTGTTGGAGCAAAATTATGTTTCTTGTATTTGGGATTTGTTGATATTTTTGCATCTGTGGGTTTATAGATTTAATCAAATTTGGAAAATATGCATTATTTAAATAGTTTTGTCTTTTTCTTCATTTCTCTCCTCTTCTTGATGGACTCCAGTTATATATATATATGTATTAGGCTGCTTGAGAGTGTTCTGTGGTCTTGCTGTCACCCAGGCTGGAGTGCAGTGGTACGATCATGGCTTACTGCAGCCTCCACCTCGCGGGTTCAAGCAGTCCTTCTACCTCTGCCTCCTGAGTAGCTGGGACTACAGGTGCATGCCACCACACCTAGCTAATTTTTGTATTTTTTTGTAGAAATGGGGCTTCCTCATATTGCCCAGACTGGTCTTGAACACCTGAGCTCAAGTGATCTGTCTACCTCGACCTCTCAAAGGCTGGTCTTGAACACCTGAGCTCAAGTGATCTGTCTACCTCGACCTCTCAAAGTGCTGGAATTACAGGCATGAGCCACTGCACCTGGGTATCATTTTGTATGGTTTCTATTGCTATGTCTTAAAGTTCACAAGTTTTTTGTGTACAGTGTCTAAACTGTTGTACACATAATCTGTGGATTTTTTTATACTAGACATTGTAGTTTTTATCTGTAGAAGTTCAATTTTGTTTTAAGTTTTTTTATGTCTACTTAGCATACTGAGTCTTTAGATTCTCAAACATAGGAAATATAGTCATAAGAATTGTCTTAATATTTGTCTACTAATTCAGTCATTTTCATGATTTCTGGGTCAATTTTGATTGATTTTTCTTATTGGTGATATTTTCCTGCTTATTGGCATGTCTAGTAATTTTTAATCTGATGCCAGAGATTGTGAATTTTACCTTATTGAATGCTGGGTTTTAAAAATTCCTATACAGTACTCTTCTGAATACTTTACCTAATGGCCTGTGTGTTAGGAGGTTTGTCCACTCTGATTGGAAATGGGCAATATTCTTGGCCCTGTATAAACGCTGTTTCTTTTCACCTTTTTGAGTAGTCTTTTTCCTCCATCCTCAGATAGTTTTCTCACGTGCATACACCAGTCAGTACTCTGCTGAATTCTCCAGTAGACCCTCTGCAGATCTTTGTTGTTGTTTCTCTGTGCCTTCTCTCCTGCTTGGTACCCTTTCTTGTGAACTCGATATGCCTTGACCTCCTCATAATTCTGGCTTTGTCTCGTCAACTATGAGAGCCTGCTACACTTCACCTGGGTTTACTTTCACTGCCAAGTGGAAACTATAGGCAATAAGCTGGGGCAGTTGTAGGGCATGTTTTGTTTTTAGTCTTCTCAGGGAACAATAACATACATTGCTTGATATCCAGTGTCTTTAAAACTGTTACTTCATATGTTTTGCACAGTATTTTAGTTGTTTTAGGTGGGATGTTAAATCTGACTCCTGTTACTCTATTATGGCCTGAAATGGAAGTCCCCTGATTTACTATTACGTAGGCTTTTAAGAGTTGGAGCACTTAAAAAAATCAGTTTGTAGAGAACTAAGCATAATTTTATTTGCTAGTAGTTATGTAGGAATCTACTATAGAATCTACTAGCAAAGGTAGTTCTAATATAGCACATATTTATATTTATTTTTGTAGTACCATATTATTAATGAAAACTGGAATGTTTTTCAGAGATTTATAAGAATTAATATTTTGCTATTTTGTTAAAACCTTTTAAAAGTTCTAACAAGCATGGGTAGTTCTTGATAATGGAATTAAACTTTATGTATATTTCATGTATATAAATTTTGTATGTATTTATTTATTTAATAGGTCTTCATCCTCCAGGTCCACCTTTAGCAAGACCTATTCTCCCCCGAGAACGAGGTGCTTTGGATAGAATTGTTGAATATCTGGTTGGTGATGGTCCACAAAACAGGTAATATTTACTGGGGTGGTAGATAAATGAAAGTGAAAACAGGATGTGTGTGTGTGCACACACTAGGTGTTCTACAGTTTTGTGGCACCTATTTTCTGACTTCATAGCATAATGGAATATTTTATAGCCCTGCAAAAGAGTACATATTCAATTATTTGACAGTAGAAGTTTTGACAACATAGTCTGGGTTAAATCCATTTTGAAAAAATATTAACTCTGCTATAACTTTTAGAGAAACTAGATTATTTCATTGAAACTTTTAAACTTAAAGAGCAAAAACATAATGCAACTCTGATAGGTTCTAAGAAATGGAGCTTTATAGGTATCAGTACTGGACTTGGTGATAGTAGTACTTTTAATGTTAAGAGGAATTTGCATGTATTTAGTACTTAGCAGTTCTCAAAATGCTTTTCCAATTCTTAAAATAACTCTAGGAAGATCATATGATATGTACAGAGCAATTGTCAAAGTATAGATTTTAAAAAAATTCATAGGGTAGTAGATGTTTGACAGCTCTCCTAATATTATTTTTAAAAAGGAATCAGAATTTAATGTTTATGTAATGAATTGTACGTTATTCAAAATAGAATGACATTTGATATAGTGAAGTATTCGTTGAGTATATCCACAGAGAACTGAGAAAGTATATAAATAGAAAATGAGGAAGATGTTTAGTGTAACTGGGAAAGGTATAAGAATCATGTATAGAAATTAATCTTTGGGTTGTACTAAACAAAATTAAATATGTTTATTTGCTGCAAGACTTCTCAGGTTTTAATAATGTTCATTGTGAATCTCTAAGAGGGTTCCAACTTTTCCAGCCTTATCACAGATTTGGTGGCTTTCATCCCCAGCACTATACTTTGGGAAACACCAAAATTTAAGTGTTCAGTTGTCAAATATGTTTCTGCTAACTTAGTAAAGACGTATTCATTTAACTGTTGCTTAGTTTATTTTAAATTTGATGTATAAATTATATTTTTAGATGCTTGAAATTTGGGCTTTGGTTAATTTTGACTTTTGTTTAATGAATATTGTTTGTGGTTTACTAAGTCTCATATAATTTGTTATGGCATATTTAGCTGTGTTAAAATATAAATTAGTCATGATGGCTAAATTAGTCTCTGTCATGAGCTTTGTCTGCTTTTGTAATTGGTCTGTTCATTTTTCCTTACGGTGTAGGTATGCACTTATATGCCAACAATGTTTTTCTCATAATGGCATGGCTTTGAAGGAAGAATTTGAATACATTGGTAAGAATTATTGGGCAATGAGATTTAAATAATTTACACTTAAATATTTTATTCTATGCCATTTTCTATGCAGTGTCATTTTATTTTATATACTGTCTTTGTATACATTGGTTAGGCATATTATCCTTATTTTAGTACATAGACCAAAGCAGAGAAGACAATTCAGGTTTTTTCCTGTGTAATGTACAGCCTCTAGGCCAGTTGTTCTCAAACCCCACTGTGCATCACAATCACCCGAAGAGCTTAAAATAATTATGATACCCAGGACCCATTTACAAAGAGTTTCATTTAATGGACTGAGTATGGCGTCCAGGCATCAGTATATTTTTTAAAGCTCTGCAAATGATTCTCATATGTAGCCACTGTTAAAAACTGTGGTAAATTGAAAATGCTTCTAAAATATTATGTACTACATTTTCATGGGTAAATGTGCAAGGTTCTGGATTTTAAAATACCTAATGATTCTAGTGACTAGAAATGTAATCTCACAAATTCTTTTAAGTCATTAATATTATTCTGCTATCAACCTGCTGTGTAACTTATTATATAGTTAGCCTGCTATGTAACCTATTATGCCTTTTCTGCCTTTAATTTTAAAAATTAAAATTCTAATAATTAGGAAGTATGCTTTAGTTCTGTTTAGAGCATCTACCATATTATTATTTAAATAACATGCACAGTAACTTTTAAAAGGTTCTTTTGAATATCTGCAAAAATAATCTTAAGTGAGTTAACTAATTAGTCCTTGAACTTTGTTTGGTTTGTGGTTTTGCTTATTTTTTAAAAATTCTCTGCAGCTTTTCGATGTGCCTACTGTTTTTTCTTGAACCCTGCGAGAAAAACCAGACCTCAGGCTCCAAGACTTCCTGAGTTTAGTTTTGAGAAGAGGCAGATGGTGGAAGGTTCAAGTTCAGTTGGTCCCTTGCCATCAGGAAGTGTGCTTTCATCAGACAACCAGTTTACTGAAGGTATGAATATGTTAAACAGTTTTGCCCCTTAATAACATGTGTTGTTTAGCAATAATAAAAGCATAATGCTTTTAGATAAAGATGGATTAATTTATCAGATTTTGCTGCATGCATATGTCAACTATTGCTCTGTTACTGTAGCCTTCTGTGTGATGTGTGATATGTTTTACTTTTAACATGCAGATTGTATTGTGATAAGCAGCATCTAGCATCAGCTAGTTAAATACTGTTTATGGAGTGACCTTTTCTAAAAAGTGTTGGGAGATTTGATTAGTAATATTTTCATGGGTTATTTTTTTCAATTTATCTGAGTGAAACAGATTATTGAAATTATGAAACAACTATTCAAAGGATAAAATACAAAATTTGTGATTAACGTTGATAGAATAGGTTTGTATCTACCACATGAATTGGTAGAAATTACCAGAAAGCAGGAAACTTTGGAATTATAAAGTTATCCTTGCCTTTTTTTTTGGATTACTGTATCAATAGGACTGGTATTTCGTTGAAACAATTTATAAAGGTTCAGAAGATAAACATTGCCTTTGATGTAAAAATCAACCTTGTTTTAGAGAATTTATCAGAATTTATTGGGTTTTGGAATTTATCTTACAATTCTGTTTTAGGAATTCTTGAGGAAGTTTCATGAAAAAAAATGGAAAAGATGAGGTGGAAGATTAGACTATTGCCAACTGTTTCTTGCTACAGTGTTAATATTTGGCCAGGAGCTCTTTGTTAATCAGCTCTGAATTATGAAGATTGCCAAAATTATGAAATAGGCCATAATATTTTGTTGCTATGTGTGATATGGAAAAAATGCATATTAGAAGTTTAGTTCACATAATTTATTTACCAGTCAGGATTAATTATTTTAATTTCTAGGAATTACCATTTACATGTATTTGATAAAAACATTGAGTACTGTAAAAATTGCTTTAATTGAGAATATTATATGAAGCAGTGAATTTTCAGATATCAGAAATTTAGTATGGGGTTTGAGTATCTATATATTTTTTTTAACTTTGAAGAGTGAACCTAAAATGCGTGTGTTGAATTGGGCTTGGCTTTTGGCTTACTAACAAATATGGAAGTGAATTTGAATACAGATAGCTATGATAGAGGCCTGTTTCTTCCAACACTGAATCAATGCATTCATCTTCTCCAAGTCTGCAGCATCAACTCCAAACAGAATGTCCATTTTTTTCTTTTGCTTAAGTTGTGCTCTGACGTGCATGCTGTCACATGCAAACCATCTGCCTTGCCATTGCAGCCTCTTGGAACTGAAAATTAAAGGATTACATACAGAAGATGCCTAGAGGAAAAATTGAAGTCTTTTCCATAACTAGCCCTGCTTATAGAAGCTAAAGTGAATATCTGTAAGCTAATTATTGGAACAAAAACAAACAAAAAAGACAAGACAAGAAAAAACAGCCAACACAGTGAAAATCTTGATAATGAGTCCCATGCTTTTTATCTTCTGCTAAAGTCAAGATAGTTAGCAAAGAACACCTAGCTATACCTTTCCTTCTTATCTAATCTAGGAGGAGAAATACCCCAGATGTCTCATTTTCTGTCTGAAATTCCTGGAAAGAAGTCTTACTTGCTCAAACCCAACCCCAATAAGGTAATGTTATTACATGAAGACAAAACTGGAGGCAGAGTTTGATAACTCCATAATGCTAAAAACTGAAGCAAGAATTCCATTTTGTTAAGGTAGTTTCTAGAATAATAACTTTCATACTTCTCTTTGGACTCATCAAAGTGACCATGAGCATCTTTTTCTTTGGCTTTCCAGAAGATTGAAACTTTTCTCAAGACTTCTAACTCAACACTGTGGCACACAGTTATCAATTCCCAGCTGGCTTCCTTTAGTAAACAACTAGAAGTATATCTGATGAACAAATGAAGCTGCATTTGTTTTGAACACCGGTGGCTTATGATTATATTGAACTATGAAGGTCATATCATCTCAATCATCTACTCTTTGCTAACAGCCAATGTTTTAGACTTCTGATTTCTAAATGATGTAGATACTTGAGGTCTGAAAAAAAAACTTTTCTGCTTTAATTCTTATATTATTAAAAGTATTGAAGTGGCTCATTCTTAGCAGCAGAAATTGTAGAGATGAAGTTATTGAAGTTACAGATGGAGCCAAAAGGTAACTTTCTTCCATCCGAACTTTTCTTTAAACAAATATCAGTAATCATTTTTATGAGCAATCAAGAATTAATAGAAGAAATATATTTTTTTCAATCTGTGATGTAAGGATTTTGAAGTTAAGTTTTGCCTGGATTCTGATTTTGGAAGATTTCTCATTTAGGATGAGGCACAAAGCTGTTAAAATTTCTGGACCACTCTTTAGGAAAACATACAGAATCTTGGAAAGTTTTCAACAAAGGAGGAGACCTAGAAGAAATTTCTCCCATTATTTTCTCACCTGAATACCTAGAGTATTTTTTTTCTGGAATTTTCCATCCAGATGCTTTGGTAATAGATTATTAGAGAAATACAAGAAATTATGGATGTAGATTGTCTTTTTATTTGAGGGCATACTAAATATGCCAAGGAATGAACTGCTTTTAGGCTCCTCAGTTTCTTTTATGGTTAAGTGGATAGTACCGTAACACTTGAATCTTTGCTAAGTTACATTACAGTGGTTTATCAGTTTTACCTTTTTTTAAAAAGCATTCTTTTAATGGTATGTGATAATCATTAGAGTACTAGGTTTCTACATTGTTGGTATTCTAATGCAGTGATTTTTTTGGCTAGCATGTTTAAAAAATGTTACTGTTAATGTTTGTGTTTGTATTGCCCAGTTGTGTTTGTCTAGGTATCATGCAATTATTTTAGTAGAATATAGTTTTTGTCCAATTGGAAATAACTTCCTAATAATAAAACTCATGGCATCTAATCAATACTATCAAAAATAGCAAGTGAAATTTATATAAGGTAAAATTTAACTTGATAATATGATTTTAAAAGTCCTTCCCTTTCTTTTATGCAAAATACTGTTACCATTAGGTTGCGCTGAACGAGGGAAAATTCTAAGTTTAGTATTTTTGTTATGATGCTCCAGGAAATTAAACTATTTGATAATGTAAATTTTGTTGAATTCCATGTATTTACCAGATCCATTAAATAATCTTTTTATACCTTTGTTTATATTTACTTATGTGCAGCCTTCTCAAGATGTAAACTTGCTTGCAGTATGTTTTTGCATGTTTGTTTTAGATATAGAGATCTTTTGGCCTTCTCACTCCCTTTTCTAAAACACCTTCACTCAATAGTTTAGTTTTAGATGATTGCTTAATAATTAAACTCTTGGCCAGACACGGTGGCTCACGCCTGTAATCCCAGCACTTTGGGAGGCCGAGGCAGGTGGATCACGAGGTCAGTTTGAGACCAGCTTGGCCAATATTGTGAGACCTTGTCTCTACTGAAAAATACAAAAATGATCCAGGCGTGGTGATGCGTGCCTATAGTCCCAGCTACATGGGAGGCTGAGGCAGGAGAATCACCTGAATCCGGGAGGCGGAGGTTGCAGTGAGCTGAGATTGCGCCACTGCACTCTAGCCTGGGCGACACAGTGAGACTCTGTCTCAAAAAAAAAAAAAAAAAAAAAAAAAAAAATTAAACTCTTAACTTGTCTAATTGATTTGTTCAGAAGTGGTAAATAATTAAATGGTATTCTGGTTGTTGATGAATACTAGCTATTATGAGTGGTTATAATTTAATTGAATTTTATTTACTGAGTTATTGAGTTGAGTTGGGGTGAAATTTATACCTTTATTTCTTAAATATAAGTTAACCATTTTCCTTAAGGCAGGAAAATCTTGTAAAAAGTGCCTTGTTTAAAACTTGTGAGTTCAAAGACATGTTGTCAATTTTAATTTAACACAGTTCCTTTAGGTAAGTTTGTAGCTTACATATATAGTGGGCACTGATGTGTTAGCAAGGCAAAAATATATGAAGTTGTTTTGCTAGACTATTATTTAATTTTCTTAAAAAATTATTTTTTCAAGAACTAGAGTAAAAACGTAAACATGATATTCTTTATATGTTTTTGCATGTGTGTAGTTTATAGGTGAGGCAGTGATATTCATTATATAATTACACTGTTTTATGAGTTTCAGATTTCTAGCTGAGTTGAGACTTTGTTCAAACAACCGGAAGCCAATTGTTACTATTTGGTAAAATAATAATAATAATAATAATAATAATAATCTCCCAAGAACATTGAGGTTGCGATGGGTTGATGGCAGGAGTGGGGAAAGAAATTGCATGGATCATTTTTTGTTTTATCACATTGTGGTATATTGTTTTCTTGGCATTATAGATGCCAGAGTTGAGTTTAAAATTTTTCTTACAGATGGAATTAGGTCATTCAGGTAATTGTTTCATATCTGAGTGGGCCATAAAGGGAAGAGTAGGGTTGTTTAATTAATGTGAACACAAAGCCTGGTTTCTCTCATAGTATTTTATGCCCAAATATTACCATCTTCTGAAATATATTTTATTCCACCAAGCTCTTTTAAACTACAAATTCACAGAAAAAATTTGCTGTTTTTGTTAGAATGGGCAAATGATGAACTTCCATAAAAATGAAAAAAGTATGTTTGTAACACATTAAGTAATCTTATAAAGCTCTGTGGTTATTAAATTTATATGTAATTCTCTGTTAATCATTTACACTTAATTATTTAGATCTTGTTTGATGACTTCTTACAAAATGGCATTGGCATCCAAACATCAATTACCTATCTTATTTAGACTACCTGATGTCTACATCGTAGGTGTCATATCACATACCAATTTTTTGTAGTGTTACTGCCGTTAAAAAATTGCTTTTCTGCAAATTAACCCAGGAGAAGAAACTTAATCATTAATAGGCTCTTTGATTATTTTCAATTTCCACACATTTCACCAATTTTGTAGTCTTCCACATATTCTCTGAAATACAATAGTGACTGGAAAACTTTGTGTATCTTGTTGTTTTCTGATTATGATAGCACATGGTATTTCTATGAATTCTTGTATTGCAGACATTTAAAAATTTCAGTATTGTAGTTCTCCTCCTTGTATTAACCACTTCTTTATGGCCCCAGAATTTGTACGTTAAATTGGCTTTGACAAGTAAAGTCTATTTTTGAAAATAGTAACATCACAAAACTTTAATATGACAAGCCTTGAATTTTGATACCTCTCCTATTTCAGTACAGTATTGAGGCAGTCTGTCAGATAGAATATGACAAACTATGTGGGCCTGTTTCCACTTAAACATGTTTATTGGTGAGTTACATCCTGGATTCTGAGCTTTTTGTTTTTTCATTTCTTGTGGCTTTATTGGTTTGTTTCAGAAGGCTTACTAAACTATAAGCAATTGTGAAGTTCTTGCCAAGTAAATACTGCTCTGTGGCTAGAGAGTTGTGGAAAACCATGATGCTTAAAATTCTGTCTTGGATACATTCTGTGAGGGTAGAATTACAAATGATTGGTGACTCCTGAAGTTTTCCACGGATAACTTGTTTGCCCTTGTAGCAGAAATGATTTGTACATGCCTGGAGTTTCATTTGCCCCTTCTGCTTTTCCTTTCTGCTCTGGAGCATTGAAATAACAAAATTCGAGTGACTTACTGCTTTTCTAACTTGGATTTTTATAAGATTCCAAGTGTGTAGCAATGCTATTTTAAGTTCCATATTAAGATACAAATAAGATTTTAAAAAATGAAATTTGGCACAAATTAATTTATGGACATTCCTTACTTTTTGTGAGCATAGGAAGTTTTCATATAGTAAAACTATAGAATTTGGGCCTTTATTCTACGTATCAAAAGGAGGAAGGTGGTTATAACTAATTATATAAGCCAGAGTCCAAGATATCTCTTTAAAGAAATAATTATTTTTAAGTATTTTAAAAGTCTTGGCATAGAGTATGTGAGCTATAGATAATTTGTGTTTGTTAAAACTGGTATGGTAAAACCATGGATTTCTAAGACTTCCATATTAACATGTGTGCATATAACACATAATTTCTTTGCAAAACAATTCTATTTATTTAGCAAAACTGACCTTTATTATACAAGGAACTTAATTAGAACTTTTTGCTAAGGCTGGCCTTCCCTCCAGAGTTTTTGAATTAGTAACATTTGTAGTATATCTTTTTTTTTTGAGACTGAGTCTGGCTCTGTCGCCCAGGCTGGAGTGCAGTGGCCGGATCTCAGCTCACTGCAAGCTCCGCCTCCCGGGTTCCCGCCATTCTCCTGCCTCAGCCTCCGGAGTAGCTGGGACCACAGGCGCCCGCCACCTCGCCCGGCTAGTTTTTTGTATTTTTTTAGTAGAGACGGGGTTTCACCGTGTTAGCCAGGATGGTCTCGATCTCCTGACCTTGTGATCCGCCCGTCTCAGCCTCCCAAAGTGCTGGGATTACAGGCTTGAGCCACCGCGCCCGGCCACATTTGTAGTATATCTTAAGGAATCATCTATAAGAGTAGAAATATCTGCTTTTTTCCTGAACTGATATGGTTTAGCCATATTTCTCCTAGCAAAAATGTTAATTGCTGTTTTTTACATAAACAAATAAATACCTTAAAGCTAAATTTTTATCTTTAACATAGAAATTGGGTAGCCCAATAACTGTCTGCTTCAGTCATTCCCTCCCCCATCCTGTTCTTTAAATTTTAAAGAATTAAAGGCAGTTTATTCAATACAATTGTTATATTATTATTAAGGGATTTGAATTAAGTAATACTTAAAAAGAGAGTTTAAAAGGAGTAAATTTTCAGTAGGGACTAGTACCCTTACTTAACTTCTGCTATGGAGATGGGATTAAAAGACCCTTCTCTTTCTCTCCCTCACATGCTAGGTATATAGTACATTCTGACCCAGAGGTTAAATATAGAGGACTTATCTTGCAGAGGGATGAGGAGAGACTAGCCATGCCTTTGGAAAAGATAGAAACCTGACTTCCCGGTTTTTGGATAATAGAGATATATATCAGTGTAGGAAAGCACCATCCACCCACACCCACCCACACCCACCCACCCACAAAGTATACATTTACACATTGCTTACAGGGTTGCCTGGACACAAGGGAAACAGTTTCTTCAGGAAATGTAATCTGGACATTAATACATTTGCATTGTTTGCTGAACTATTGTATTATAGCACATAATTCTGTTGGGACTATGATTTTTGGACATTCAACTTTCAGATGTGTCTTTAGTAACTTATTTTGTATGAAAATATGGGACATTAGAAAAAGTATAATTATGGGTTTATTTCCTCTGAATTACTTTTTTTCTTCTACCATACTAACTGTAAAGGGAGTTATGTACTTATTTTAAAAGACTTTAAGGATAATGTTAGACAATTGTATGGTTTCTGTGCGTGTGTGTGTGTGTGTATTTATTTTTTGCTTGCCTTATTTAGCAGTTTTAACATTCAGGTATTCCTAAAGTTTTGAATCTTTATCTTTTCAGAATCTTTAGAACAAGATGTTCTTGATAATAGTACAGAGCAGACAGATGACAAAATGCCAGCTACAGAACAGACACACGAAGGGATTGAAAAAGCATCTGACTCAGAGGAACCAGAGGAGAAACAAGAGACTGAGAATGAGGAAGCCTCAGTGATTGAAGCCAACTCCACAGTTCCCGGAGCTGATTCTATTCCTGATCCTGAACTAAGTGGAGAATCTTTGACGGCAGAGTAGTAAATGCTTCCACGTGCCTTCAACTGCATATTTATAGTCTTGTTGATGTCAGTTATTGCTTTTTCGGTGGCACTTTCTTTTTTTGCCCCTCTAAGGGTATGCTTGTGTATCATTTGAATTCAGATTGCCTAGCTATTTGAACATCTCAAAGTTATATATACTGGGTATTAAAATTAAAAGCAAGTGATATCAGTGAAGTAAGATCCTTTTGAATGTACAAAGACCCGTGCTATTGAGACAGGTTTTAGATATTTTTTATCCATTCTAAAAGTAAACAAACATGATTGCCTTCTTGTTTTCTGTATGTATAACCTGTAAATATCCATTTTGACATAGGAAGAACTTTGGTTAAGAGTAAGTTCTCTAATTGTGTTTGTTTTAAGGAATGAAACTTGGTTAAGATTTTGACTGCTTCATTATTAAAAATTGATAGAATTTTAGCTCCTGAGATATTTACAACTGGGGGAAATGTCTATTTAGGCGTTTACATTAAGTGGTATGAAACTTGCTATTGTTACTACATAGGCACTGGTACGAATTCTCAATAAGAATGCAATGGAACAGTTAGGTAGAACCATAACTACATAGGCACTGGTACGAATTCTCAGTGAGAATGCAATGAAACAGTGAAGTGCAGTGTTTCTTTTTGATGTCTTTTATTTTACAACTGGGCCAAAGGCACATGATGTATATAATTAGTTTATATTTACACATTAGCATATAGGAAATATTTCTGCACTTGACTGTACTTGAATTCCGAACATTATTTATACATGTAAAATGATGATATATAAGTGAATTTTGTGCTCTTGTTTGTATTTTATTAAGGAAAATAAAAATAATCTGGCATCAGTTTCATTTTGCTAAATATCTAGTCTTCTTCAAACAGTATCTTGGTGGGTGACTTGGCTGCCTGAAAAATCTTAGGAGGAATAGCTAACAATACAATAAATCTGTAGATTCTTCTTAGAGCAAATTATGATACTTTTATTCAGACTTGTTTCCTTTCTAGTTAAGAGAAATAGTGACATTTAGAGGTTTTAATCAGAAGTTAGGTTTTTCTGATTCAGGAACGTCTTAGGCCAGGCATTTGTAATTTTTAACTTTGAGAAACAAGTTTTGTGAGAGTAGGATGTGGGTTGCTGGTAGTTAATTGGATTTAATATTTGTATTAAGGATTAACTGGAAAAAATGTATCTCAGTGCTAATTCTTGGACCTTTAATACAGTGTGCTTATCTGTTATGGCCTCCTTTTATCTCTCTTCTGAAAGCACCATCCACCCACACCCACCCACACCCACCCACCCACAAAGTATACATTTACACATTGCTTACAGGGTTGCCTGGACACAAGGGAAACAGTTTCTTCAGGAAATGTAATCTGGACATTAATATATTTGCATTGTTTGCTGAACTATTGTATTATAGCACATAATTCTGTTGGGACTATGATTTTTGGACATTCAACTTTCAGATGTGTCTTTAGTAACTTATTTTGTATGAAAATATGGGACATTAGAAAAAGTATAATTATGGGTTTATTTCCTCTGAATTACTTTTTTTCTTCTACCATACTAACTGTAAAGGGAGTTATGTACTTATTTTAAAAGACTTTAAGGATAATGTTAGACAATTGTATGGTTTCTGTGCGTGTGTGTGTGTGTATTTATTTTTTGCTTGCCTTATTTAGCAGTTTTAACATTCAGGTATTCCTAAAGTTTTGAATCTTTATCTTTTCAGAATCTTTAGAACAAGATGTTCTTGATAATAGTACAGAGCAGACAGATGACAAAATGCCAGCTACAGAACAGACACACGAAGGGATTGAAAAAGCATCTGACTCAGAGGAACCAGAGGAGAAACAAGAGACTGAGAATGAGGAAGCCTCAGTGATTGAAGCCAACTCCACAGTTCCCGGAGCTGATTCTATTCCTGATCCTGAACTAAGTGGAGAATCTTTGACGGCAGAGTAGTAAATGCTTCCACGTGCCTTCAACTGCATATTTATAGTCTTGTTGATGTCAGTTATTGCTTTTTCGGTGGCACTTTCTTTTTTTGCCCCTCTAAGGGTATGCTTGTGTATCATTTGAATTCAGATTGCCTAGCTATTTGAACATCTCAAAGTTATATATACTGGGTATTAAAATTAAAAGCAAGTGATATCAGTGAAGTAAGATCCTTTTGAATGTACAAAGACCCGTGCTATTGAGACAGGTTTTAGATATTTTTTATCCATTCTAAAAGTAAACAAACATGATTGCCTTCTTGTTTTCTGTATGTATAACCTGTAAATATCCATTTTGACATAGGAAGAACTTTGGTTAAGAGTAAGTTCTCTAATTGTGTTTGTTTTAAGGAATGAAACTTGGTTAAGATTTTGACTGCTTCATTATTAAAAATTGATAGAATTTTAGCTCCTGAGATATTTACAACTGGGGGAAATGTCTATTTAGGCGTTTACATTAAGTGGTATGAAACTTGCTATTGTTACTACATAGGCACTGGTACGAATTCTCAATAAGAATGCAATGGAACAGTTAGGTAGAACCATAACTACATAGGCACTGGTACGAATTCTCAGTGAGAATGCAATGAAACAGTGAAGTGCAGTGTTTCTTTTTGATGTCTTTTATTTTACAACTGGGCCAAAGGCACATGATGTATATAATTAGTTTATATTTACACATTAGCATATAGGAAATATTTCTGCACTTGACTGTACTTGAATTCCGAACATTATTTATACATGTAAAATGATGATATATAAGTGAATTTTGTGCTCTTGTTTGTATTTTATTAAGGAAAATAAAAATAATCTGGCATCAGTTTCATTTTGCTAAATATCTAGTCTTCTTCAAACAGTATCTTGGTGGGTGACTTGGCTGCCTGAAAAATCTTAGGAGGAATAGCTAACAGTACAATAAATCTGTAGATTCTTCTTCGAGCAAATTATGATACTTTTATTCAGACTTGTTTCCTTTCTAGTTAAGAGAAATAGTGACATTTAGAGGTTTTAATCAGAAGTTAGGTTTTTCTGATTCAGGAACGTCTTAGGCCAGGCATTTGTAATTTTTAACTTTGAGAAACAAGTTTTGTGAGAGTAGGATGTGGGTTGCTGGTAGTTAATTGGATTTAATATTTGTATTAAGGATTAACTGGAAAAAATGTATCTCAGTGCTAATTCTTGGACCTTTAATACAGTGTGCTTATCTGTTATGGCCTCCTTTTATCTCTCTTCTCCAGTATTAAAAAAAAAAATGGAAATCAAGTTACTATGCTGAAGGGAAAAATATACCTGTATAAGAATGGTGTGTCTGGCTAATGTTTCTAAGTTGCACACAGTTTATTAAAAACTGAACAAAACATTTTTATCATTTGAAAATCTATTTTTATGATTTAATATCTCATATGTGACAATTTTTTTTTTTTTAACTCAATCTGTTAACAGTCTGGGACATCTTGGTATAGTAACCAGAGTTTTTGAGCCTACTGTATTGGGCTTAAATTTCAGGTCTGTAGTCTTGGACAAGTCACCTAAACTCACTGAGATTATTTTTTCACCTGTAAAATGGGAAGAATTATGTTTATTTTTGAAAGGTATTAGGATAATTAAAAATAATGTAATGTGCCTAGCACACTACCTGATAATAGTGGCGTTGGTTCTTATTAACGTCTTTAAAATATGCAAGGACCGTAAGTTTTTCCTCTTGCAGATAAGGAAATTTAAAAATAATGTGAACATGTAATTCAGCTGCTCAGATTCAAGCCAATGTTTTTTGCTTCAGCTTTTCTTTATTGTATGTATGTGTATAAATGCATAGATTAAGGAAATAGGAAACTGAAACTCTATAGAATATAATCTTTTTAAAAATAATTGCATCAGGTTTTTTGTATGTTACTTACCCATATGTAGTTTAGTAACATCTTGCTTAGTCATGTTGTTACAAAACGTTCAAATTCTGATATACATTGCTTGAAAATGAGTGAGTACCTCAGAGAAATTTGATAGACTCAAACGGATAGTATGACAAATACCTTTGAAAGAAATATGGAGGAAGGTTAAAAGAGGATTAGTAAAATTAATGCAATAGGTAACATGTTTGTAACCATATAGTATCCTTTTAGACACAAAAGCTTACTTTCATTATTATAATAATAAACAGTTAATGGTTGAAACAGTTGTAAAATGTCCTATTTTGATTATTAAGACTAGTATAAATGAGGAAAGCCAAACTATTAAGTACCATTAGCTAGAGTGATCTTAGCTTCCTTGCTTACAATTGCTCAATGGGTCATCATCTAAACTCTTCTATGTCCTGAGCATGATCTACAAACATGGTCTAGCTTCTGTCTCTCCATCTTCCCTCCATCATTGTGCTGTGGCCATATGGAACTCCTTTCAGTTCTCTGACCATGCCCTTTCCTGCCTCAGATTTCAGCTTAAATTTTCCCTCCTCAGAAAGATGCCTTCCCAAACTCCCCATCTAAAGCTGGCCTCTGCCTTTTACTCTCTATCATGTCACTCTCTACTCACCATCCCTATCACAATGTGTATTTGATTTGTTTGCTAGTTTACTGTTTTCACAACATAGTGTCTGTTTGTGCAAGGGTCTTATTTTTCTTATTCACCTCTGAATCTCAAGGGTCTAGCACAATGCTTGATGCATATTGTGTGAATAAATACTTTGTTGCCAAATCCAGTGAAAACTCAGTTCTTGTTTCACTGCTTGGCAGTATTGACATTGTTGAATACTCTTTCTTTGAGACGCTTTTTTTCTTTTGGCTTTTCACATATCACACTACTATTCTTTTATTTCTCTGGCCTCTTGCTCTTAACCTCCTTTAAGTGTTGGTGTTCCTTAAGTTCGACCTAGTATCATCATTTCTTCATTCTGCATATTCTTTCTCTAGGCATTCTTCTCAACACCAATGGACTTACCATCTGTCTCTCTGAATCTCAGATCTCCAGCTTTGATCTGTTTCCTTTACTTTAGAGCTATATATTTGCCTGCCTACTGGCCTGTCTCTCACAATCCATATATTCAAGAATGAATACTATACTTTGCTTCAAACCTTCAGAACATTCAAACCGTTTATGTTTCTCATCTAATCAAATAGTTACTCTCTAAGCCAGAAGCTGTAAACTCATCTCTTTTTCCTTTATTCAAACTGTCAATTTTTGTCTCCTAAACATCTTCTAGTTATATTCTCATTTCTCTATTCACATCGCATTAATAATGATGATAAACATTTGCATTCTTATTCTGTGCCAGGCAACATGCTAACTGCTGTATATATATGTTATTTTATTTGTACTTTGGCAAGAATCCTGTGAAGATTTTTATCTTTGGACATATAGAAGAGAAAGCTGAGTTGTAGAGAGAATATGTATTTAAGTCCGTTTGAGCTACTATAACATAATACCACAGACTGGGTAACATGATGAAGAAAAATTTATTTGACTCACAGTTCTAGAAGCTGGGAAATCCAAAGGCATGATGCTATCATCTGGTGAGGGCCTTTGTGCTTTGTCATCCCATGCCAAAGGCAGAAGGGTAAGAGAGGGCAAGAATGAGCAAGAGATAGAAGTTGCAACCTCAAGCTCTTTTATAATGAGCATTAATCCATTCATGAGGGCTTCACCCTCATGACCTAAACATCTCCATTAGGTTCCAGCTTCCAATGCAACAGTTTAGCATAGGTTTTCAACACATGTTTTTGTAGCATTCAAACTATAGCAGGAAGCAACTTGTTTAAAGTTGTATACCTGGTAAGTGGAAAACAGGGATTTAAATGTAAGTAAATGACTTCAGAGGATTTACTCTTAATTTCTGTTGTACTGCCTTCTAATTTTGGCCTCCATCATTTCAGATCACCAAAGCTGTCTCTTAACTGGTTTCTTTGTCTCCCACCTTGTGCACTTGCTATATGTTCTGTGTGCTGCAGCCTGAGTTTTTGAAAAATGGAAAATGAGGGGCCGGGCGCAGTGGCTCAAGCCTGTAATCCCAGCACTTTGGGAGGCCGAGGTGGGCGGATCACCTGAGGTCAGGAGTTTGAGACCAGCCTGACCAACGTGGAGAAACACCGTCTCTACTAAAAATACAAAATTAGCCAGGCATGGTGGTGCATGCCTGTAATCCTAGCTACTCAGGAGTCTGAGGTAGGAGAATTCCTTGAACCCAGGAGGCGGAGGTTGCAGTGAGCAGAGATTGCGCCATTGCACTCCATCCAGGCTGGGCAA